TAGGAGTGTATCTCCAGGGTTTTATTAATGGCTTTGGACATAGTTCAAGAATGTTTTTAATTAACCTAGGAGGATTTAGGGATATTCCTAGTATAGTGATCTTGGGTCTGGTAGATATGCCATTAGTTCAGTAATAGATAAGAAGTTAGACATTTTATGTATTGTGTTTTCCTATTCTCTCTTCTGAATCATTCCTCAGATGAAAGATTTGATTGTGGTTAAGGAAGGTGACCTGATATATAACTATAATCTAGCTCAGGGGTCCCCAAACCCGGTCCATGGACTGAGACTGGGCTGTGGCATGACAGCAACCAGGCCGTGCAAACAAGCACAAACAAGCAAAGCCCCATCTGGAGAATGCAGGCAAATCCGTGCAAAAAACTTCCTCCATGGAACTGTGGTCCCTGGTGCCCAAAAGATTGGGGGCTGCAGATCTAGCTGGTGTTATAAAATGGAACTATACTTTCCTGTTAATTGCCCAATTAGTATTCTTTTTTCTAATATTTCTAACATAAAACTTGAGAGTTAGGTGTGAAAAGATCTTATTGTCTATTAGAATTTCATTTTTTTCTTGAAGTTTCATATTTTAGAATGCAGTACTGCAGGCTTCTTCTACTGATTGCCGGCTGCTGCAGTTTGGCAGTTCGAATCTCACCGGCTCAAGGTTGACTCAAACTTCCATCCTTCCGAGGTTGGTAAAATGAGGACCCAGATTGTTGTGGGCAATATGCTGACTCTGTAAACCAGGGGTGTCAAACTGGATTTCTTTGAGGGCCGGATTGTATTGTAGTTCTCTGTGGGCCGGCGGGGAGCGGGGGGAGATGGGATGGATGCCTCCTGCAGCACCCTGCCGGCCAAAATAGGGTGTGGAGGGACACGGCCCCCTCTGCCCCATATTCGGCCTCCCTGGCCTCTGGCAGCACTCTGTCGTCCAAAAATGGGCTGCATGGAGGCCTCCTGAGGCCCCCCCCTCACGTGGGCCATTTTGGCTGGCAGAGGCACAGTGAGCTGGTCCTTTGATATTTCCAGGCCGGCCCTGCAGGCCGGATTTAACCACCCTACAGGCCAGATCTGGCCCACAGGCCTTGCGTTTGACACCCCTGCTGTAAACCACTTAGAGAAGGACTGTAAAGCAATTGTGAAGCAGTATATAAGTCCTGTTGCTGTTTTATTATTATCTTACTATATTAAGTGTTTAGAATAGCAGAAGCTATTGTTTACACCATCAAATAAGACTCTTTCCAGTAAAGCTTCTTGTTCATCTAAATTGCTACCTTTGAGTCTTGACCACACCAGTTTTTATTCATGTGCTCCCATAAACTATTGGATTGTGCTTGAAATATCTAATTTGATATTGAATTTAATATTCAGGACTCTCAAAATTATTTTTCAATTAGACATCAAACTCATGCCAGTACTATGAACCTGAAATAACTCAGGATTTTAGGATTGCCATTCTGAAAACAGTTTTTATAGTCAAGTAAAATGATGATGATTTGCTTTGTTTATTATTTATTTAGTTGGATTATGGCATTGCCTAACATCAAAACAGCTGAATGACATTATCATATCATATCCTGTTGAAAATTAGGCCTCAATCCCTTTTCTGTTGTGAAATACTTATTAAAAACAGTTTCCCTGGAACCAAAAACATAGTGAATTACTGCAACATGATTGTTGATCCACCTGAGCATGAAGAAATCACAGATGATTCACAGGATTGCATCTCCTTTTTGTAGAGCAATGAAGAGATTTGACATTTTTTTGATCATATGGCTCCTTCCTATTTCTACTGCACCTTCATGTGTTGCCCAGCAGATGGAACCTAAGAATGGTTCTTAAATTTCCAAAGTCTTTTAGTTGAAAATCTTGGTAAAAGTGAAGTGATTAATAACACTAGCTCATTTAATATGGAGACACAAAGCTCCCCATACAGTATATGATTAGTGATCTTAAAGGAACGTGATTCTATATTGTAGAGAATTTCCTACTAGTGTATTACATTTTTATACAGATTTATGTTCTATATTCTTCTGTGCATTTTCTTAGTGCTGTAAGATCTTACATACTATTTAAAATGTGCCACACTGTCAGCCTAATTTTATACATCACAATTGTTGAAACGGATGCTAAATGATTTTGATATGACCTGGACATAATTTAATTTCTTTTTGGCTTCTTATCTCATGCTTTTAATTTATTTTACTTATAGTCTTTTACAATTTGGCCATGAGGGAAAAGAAATTCTACCATAACAAGAACAATTTTGACAGTTTTTAAGATAAGAACATAAAATTGTTCACATTTATCTAGACATAAGAAAGCTAAAACCCTCACCCCAAACAATATTTGTCCTTTTTTTTCCTTTTCTAAAAAATTAGAAAAAATAGAAGGATAAATTTAAAAAACCAATTGAAAAAGTTTATTCTGGAATAATAAATGTAAAAATGGAAAGTGCTCTTGTGATGCTATCTTTATAGGCTAACATTTTTAATTAACTTTGAAGACCTTTGTATAGATTATCTTCTATACAGAGCAGAAGCTGTGCAGTGCAATTCTAAAATGCAGGAACATGATGTAATTCTGTTCCTGAGGGCAGTGTCTATTTTCACTAAAGAAAGGAACGCTCAGTACCTGATTTGCTTGTGGGATTTTTGTTGCTGACTTTTTATGTACAGGTCAGTGAATTTGCTCTAACTAGCTCTCAAAAGATATAAATGTTTTATTATGCTATTGATGTTTTTTTCCTTCCTTTTTCAGTTATTTTTTCCAAGTTGTCAAGTTGACAAAACTCAGAGTTGAGAACCTATAGTTCTGCAGCTTATATTTCAGTTTCAATTTCAAGAAATTAAAATCATTTCAAAGCAATTCCATTAATAAATATCATTATTGTCTAGATTAAATTTACACATATTATTGCATGTTTGCATTTTGGGTATTTAAAATTTCAAAATATATTTTAAAACTTTGACTTTGTTTACTACTGATAAAGATCGCTTGCCTACCAAGGTTGGGCCAAGGGAGTAAAGAGACGAAAGTTTTAATCACATTCCTCTGAATTATAAATTCAGCAGTTTTGCCTTCTGGCAAAGAGTTGTTTTCTACTAGTCATTCCCACAATTATAGCCATTGTGTAAGAACATCCATAGCACTTTCTTACCATGTTCAAAAGAGCAGTAGTTTTAAATACTGTATTAATAAACATTCAGATTCTGTTATAACTTCAGTTTATTTAATTTTAACATTAAAACATTAGTATATTAGAACTTTATAATATTTGTAGTCCAAGCCCTATAATATACATGCACTGGTGAAATCCTTTATATGTTAGACTGTTTAGTAATTTGCTGTTAGCTAGATAATAAAAAGGGATGCGGTGGCTCAGTTGCTGAGCTTGTCGATTGAAAGGTTGGCAGTTCAGCGATTCGAATCCCTAGTGCCGTGTAACGGGGTGAGCTCCCGTTACTTGTCCCAGCTTCTGCCAACCTAGCTGTTCGAAATCACTTAAAAAATGCAAGTAGAAAAATAGGGACCACCTTTGGTGGGAAGGTAACAGCATTCTGTGCGCCTTTGGCATTTAGTCATGCCGGCCACATGACCACAGACACATCTTCATACAGTGCTGGCTCTTCAGCTTTGAAACAGAGATGAGCCAGGAAAGACCAACACATATGTGCGAGAACCTTTACCTTTTTTAGATAATACAAAAATTAGAAGGGCTGTGCATATTTTCCTAATCAAAGTACTGATGATGATGATGATATTATCCATTCAATCCTGTCTGAATCCTCTTGGCCGATTCTAATGGCCAGGTCTTTCCACATCGTCTAATCCTGCACTACTTCTTTGAGTTATTTTATGCCTTGGCTGGTATCAGCTTTGATAGTGTCTAGCCAGCCATCGTGTCCTTTGGCAGCCTGGTTTCCTTTTACTGCTAACTCTTCCAAACATACGGTAATTGCTTTCTCCAGTGAATTCTCCTGCATGATATGGCCAAAGTAAGTGAGATGCAGGCTCATCTTTTTATGTAACACTTAAGAGGAATCTCTTTATATATTTTATATTGAAAAATGAAGAAACATTTTACTACCTTAATTGACTATTTGCAGCTGATCAAATTAAAATAATGAAACATTTATTGTAATGATTAAATAATGAGATATATAAATCTGGCTCCCCCCAACACCAATTTGCAATTTGTCTTCCTATGTTAACTCAACAAAGTAACAAATTCAACAGATACCAGGACTGATTCAGCTTCTAGAGAAGGTAAGAGCAGCTGATAAGGAAGAGGTCATTAATACCAGATACAAGAAAAATTATTGTATCCAGACCAGTGGTGGGTTGCCTCCAGTTTGGACCGGTTCTATAGAACTGGTAGTAAAACTGGCAGGAGGCCCCGCCCACTGACCCGGACGTCATCAGAAGCGATCTGCGCATGCACAGAAGAGCGCACACGGGCACGATGCGAACTGGTAGTAAAGGTAAGTAGAACCCATCCCTGATCCAGACATCTGATTTCTGACATTAGTCACAAAATGATGTTTAGCGTATTTAGCGAATTTAGAAAGTTCACTTAATAATTACATTATGATAGAATATAATTATATTATATTCTTAATATGATAGAATAAAACAGTGAATGTACATAAAATTATTCATTTTAAACATTTAATATTTGACAATATATTTGTTTTAATAATAATATATATTTGAGTTATTGCGCAACTTACGTTCTTTAATTCTGTAAATGCTTTAAATAGGAAGATATACTTCTAAGTAAGCAAGTGATTTTATCACTTAGCCACTGTAGGGAATATAAATCTTATTTGTTCATCTTTTGAATGTTCTGTATTATTTTTTGAAAAATTGTGAATTAGTCATCACAACATTAAATGTACATTTTATTTAAAACAGTAACTATTGTTTAAATGGTCCCCTCTCTAGCTCTCAAATCTATTATGAATAGAAAAGTAAAATGATAACTCAAGACATGAATGTAATAGATCCATTAATTTTATGAGATTATAAAATTAGTGAGATTTAATTAATGGCTTTGGCTAGTATTTTATTCATATGGTTTATTCTGGGTTTTAATAGGCAATTGGACTTGATGGCCTCTTCCAACTCTGTGATGCTACCAGAAAACAATATTTATTGTATTTTATTGAGTTTTGCAGTATTTGTATCCTGGGCACTTCACAAACTCTGGGCAGTTCAGAGCAGTTATATAACATGGTTCTTCCCTAGGAGAAAGAGCAGACAGGAAAGAATTAAAAACACACCGCAAACGCTTGTATAATGCTTGGCTTCCTCACCTTGCAGACCTAAGAAGCCATACTTTTAAATATGCTAGAGCTAGGAATAATAATAGAACAATTATTAAATTGCTTGGAAAATAAGTTATTCCATTTATTGATCCCCAACTTGGATATATTAATTATTTTGTCATACAAAAATATGTGTTGCATGTTTGCAGGTGTCTATGTATCACATTATTAAAAAAAGAAATACAAAATGAATACAAAAACTAGGATGGGGATGGGTAAGGGTTAATATACTGGGAAGTATGGGATAAGGAAAGGTGTTATAAGGGAAAGTAAATAGAGGGAGAGAAACTCCATTTTGGTATTATAAAATGATTAAGTTGAACTACTCAAGCAGTAGAGATCCCTTCCCAAGTTGGATGGTGACAGCTAAAATTACTGTATTTTTTGGAGTATAAAACGCACCTAATTTTGTTTTTTTTTTTAATAAAGTTTTTTTTTTTTTTGACAAACACATACAAAACATACAATGTATTTTCTTTGAACAGAGTATTTGGCCGGTTCACAAATTTAAACAGTATTTAGTCATTTCAATTAAATTTACAATTTCTATATTTCCTTTTTGCCATATTTATTCCTCATCTATTTTTTTAAAAAACCAATATTACCCTTCATCCTCATCTCTAATCTTAAATCAAATTCAATTTTTCCCTTCTATTCTATATTATACCCCTTCCCATTGTCATCTATTTTTATATCAATCCTCACATTGGTTAATTATGTAATATTACAATTGTTTAATACAAATTAAACATTTTAATATAAATCAATTATTTATTTATTTTATTTTATTTTATTTTATTAAACTTGTATGCCGCCCTCTCTCCCAAAGGACTCAGGGCGGCTCACAAAGATAAAAACACATAAAATTCAATATACAAATATAAAAACCAATAAAATCCCTTTAAAAAACCCCTTCAGTCCAATCTGGCCAGGCCAAATAGCCATGTTTTGAGGTCACGGCGGAAAGAGCGAAGGTCAGGGGCCATCCGGAGCTCCAGGCGGAGCTGATTCCACAGAGTAGGCGCGCCCACAGAGAAGGCCCGCTCCCTGGGAGTTGCCAGTTGACACTGTCTGGCTGACGAGACCCCAAGGAGGCCCTCCCTGTGAGAGCACATCGGGCGATGGGGAGCTGTCTCTGGCTGCAGATGGTCCGCCAGGTACCCCGGGCCTAAGCCATGTAGGGCTTTATAGGTGATTACCAGCACCTTGAATCTCACCCGGAGGGCAACCGGTAGCCAATGCAGGTCCCGCAGGAGGGGTGTAACATGAGAGTGTCGGGACACTCCCATCACTACCCATGCGGCCGCATTCTATATTAGTTATATAACTATCTTTTTTTGTATATTAATATGAACATGAATATTCCAATTATTTCCATGCAATCCAATTTCTTACAAATCAATTAATTATATTTACCAATAATAATAAACCAAATAATTTTCCCCATATATTCCTCCAAACCACAACTTAACCATTTCTGCTTTCAACACAATATACAATTAATAGTATCTCAATTACTACAATTTCCTAGTTAAATAGAGCTTTCCCCTTATTTTCACATCTTAAACTCTCCCAATAACCCAAATAGTTTTGGCCCATATAATCCTCCAAATCACAACTTAATCATTTCTACTTTCATCACAATATATAATTAAAAATATTTCAATTGTTACAATTTCCCTAATTAAATTTAAAAATGTTCTAGCTGCTATCCAAGCTACAACTTAATCCTTTTTACTTTCATCACCATATACCATTAAAGGTATTTCAATTGTTACAGTTTATACTTATTCATATTTCTAAAAAAAAAATAAAAAAATAAAAATTTATCAATGTCTAGATTTCAAATACAAAGACAAATATTCCAATTATTATTCATTTCATTTTTACAATCATGATTTCCCATTTATTTCTGACTACTATTCATATTTCAATTCTAAATGTGCATAACATCTTTCTCTTTCATTTCTTTTTCTCTCTTCCCATTTTTATTTTTGCCTTTTTCTTTCTCCTTTTTTTCTTTTGTGTTTTAAAATCTTGAACTCTCTTCTTCTGCCCTAAATTTCCCATTGTTTGCACCTACCTTTTTTGGTGAGGAAAAAGAAGAAAAAGAAATCTGCCTAATTACAGCAAACAGCCTGATTTACTTTCATTTTCGTTTTCAGCATAGCTTGATTAGCACAAGGAAAAAAAAATCTCTGCAGCAGCAAGCAGCAGAGCTCTGCACAAAACAGCTGAGAGCAAATCAGCTGAGTGTCAGGAGGCTGATCCAATCAATTTGTGCTAATTAGGCTGTGCTGAAGCTGAAAGGAGCTGTGTTTTCTTGCTGTTTGCTTGCAAGGAGGTAACTGCTGCGAGGCACAGGCCAAAGGGTGGTGGGGGCCAGTGGGTGGGTGGGGCTACATTCGGTGTATAAAATGCACCTAAATTTTCACCCCCTTTTAGGGAGGGAAAAAGGTGCCTCTTATACTCCAAAAAATACGATATATTCAAAGTTGTCAATATTATCAACGTTAGCAGATATAGCTTCCTGTCCATTTGCTCTTTTCAACATTAAATTCTCCTCTCATTTTCCAGTTTGGGGAAGAATCTGTCTTCCTATTAGCATGGGAAAATATTAGTTTTTTTAAAAATTAAAATTACTTTTTAAACTGATTTTCTTTACAATTATATTCGTGTAGAGGTGGGAGTGGGTAGGGTTAGTATACATTATGGCATAGAGAAAGCTAGTTTGATCTAGTAATTAAGGCACCAGATAGAAAGCTTGATACTGTGAGTTCAAGTCTGCCTTAGCCATGAAAGCCACATGGGTGACCTTGGGCCAGTTACTCTCGCTCAACCCAACCTACCTCAAGGGTTGTTGTTGTTGAAAAAATAGGAAGGTGTGTTGGGTATGTTTGCCATATTGAGTTACTTGTAAAAAATAATGAAGGGGGATACAATAAATAAAGTATTTATTTTATTTTTATTTTAAATTTGATTTATATGCTGCCCTTCTCCGGAGACTCAGGGCGGCTTACAATGCATTAAGCAATAGCCTTCATACTTTTGTATATTTATACAAAGTCAGCTTATTGCCCCCACAAACTGGGTCCTCAATTTACCTACCTTAGAAAGGATGGAAGGCTGAGTCAACCTTGAGCCTGGTGAGATTCGAACTTACAGTAATTGCAGACAGCTGGTGTTAATCACAATGCTATTAGTCTGCTGAGCCATCAAGTAAAAAATAAAATAAAATAATAAAATAAAATATGTATGCTGATGATACCCAGCTTTTTATATCCACCCCGAACCAGCCCAGTGATGCCCTTGACGTGATGTCCCGGTGCCTGGAAGCAGTGCGGACCTGGATGGGGAGAAACAGGCTTCAGCTCAACCCTGCCAAGACCGAGTGGCTGTGGGTACCAGCATCTCAGCTCGAACAAGATATTCTATCTTTGGTTATAGGGTGTGAGGTGTTACCCCCTGTAGATAGGGCGCGCAACCTGGGCATCCTTCTGGATTCATGGTTAAATTTAAAGATCATGTAACGACCGTGACCCGGGGGGCATTTGCCCAGGTTCGCCTGGTCCGCCAGTTGCGCCCCTACTTGGACCGAGATGCCCTACGCACGGTCACTCATGCGCTTGTCACCTCTTGTATTGACTACCGCAATGCTCTCTATATGGGGCTGCCCCTGAAGACCACTCGGAGGCTTCAGCTGATGCAGAATGCGGCCGCGCAAGTGTCCCGACACTCCCATGTTACACCTCTCCTGCCGGTTGCCCTCCGGGTGAGATTCAAGGTGCTGGTGATTACCTATAAAGCCCTACATGGCCTAGGCCCGGGATATTTGGTGGACCATCTGCAGCCAGCAACAGCTTCCCATCGCCCGGTGCGTTCCCACAGGGAGGGCCTACTCAGGGTGCTGTCGGCCAGACAGTGTCAACTGGCGACCCCCAGGGAGAGAGCTTTCTGTGTGGATGCACCTGCCCTTTGGAATCAACTCCCTCTGGAGCTCCAGGTGGCCCCTGACTTTTGCTCCTTCCGCCGTGGGCTGAAAACTTGGCTATTTCACCTAGCCGCCTTGGACTGATGGGGGTTTTAATCTGGGTTTTATTGAATTTTTTCATTTTAACTTGGACTTCTGTTTTAATGGTTTGTTGTGTTTTAATCGTTGTGAGCTGCCCTGAGTCCTGTGGAGATAGGGTGGCATACAAGTCCCATAAAATAAATAAAATAAAATAAAATAAAATAAAATAAAATAAAATAAAATAAAATAAAATAATAATAAAATAATAAAATAAAATAAAATAAAATAAAATAAAATAATAAATAAAATAAAATAATAAAATAATAAAATAAAATAAAATAATAAAATAAAATAAAAAAAATATAAATAAAATAAAAAAATAAAATAAAATAAAATAAAATAAAATAAAATAAAATAAAATAATAAAATAAAATAAAATAAAATAAATAAAAAAATAAAATAAAATAAAAATAAAATAAAATAAAATAAAATAAAATAAAATAAATAAATGGTGTAGTACTGTAGTGTCCAGCCTATATTTTCCCTCTGCTGATCCCAAAAATCATTTGCATGGAAATCTACCAAGAATCCTAGGGCTCTGGGCTAGTCTGAGAAGTTTAAAAAGAAACCCTGAAAGAAAGCAATTATGTACTATTTCCATGTTGCTGCAAATAAAAATTTACTACAAATTTAGCTCAATTTGAGGAATTCTTTATGGAGAATGTGGATGTGCATTCCCTCCTCATCTAAATCAGGATTGGAGCAAACAGCTGGGTTAAAACCTCTCTATCCTGGTGTCTCAATATAGCTTGAGATGAAAAATGAAAGATGTATGGTTTTGCCATTACCCAATTCTTTTCCTCCTGAAATACTTTGCATGTTTTGCTAGCCATGCTGAAAAATTTAAATAATGTGAATTCTGCCTTGATAGAGATGAGACAAGGATCATCAGATGAGAAAAGGGAAAGAGTTGTGAAAAAAGCCAAATAGCTATTAATTACCAGAGATTGCTGAGATACGTCATTATAATTGATTTGTGCTCTGGCAATATAGTATGAATTCTGAACATGAAAAATGTAATTACTTGGTCTGTGTTACTAGTCTTTCTTCTCATGAACTATGGTTCCATAATTTCTGTATTTCAGAATAAAAGCTTGATATATATTTAAAATGTTCTTTTATGTTCATATTATGTTTATGAATCTGATGTTTGGAGCAATATTGCAAAGGTGTAAAGCAATCTTTAAGATTGAATAATGTGTTATTGCTAGTTTGTGGTTCACTGTGTTGTGCGTTATGTGTGTTGGCAAGTAGATTAGTTCAGCAAACCATGGAATAGCTAACCATGGGTTAGCAAATTGTGCAGTCCTACTCTAATAAAACACAAGAAACCTACATGACAGCATCTCTTGCAAGATAAGCTTATAACCTGGGAACTTTCTGATCATCATCTAAGTACTAATGAGGACTGATCCTGCTTAGCTTTTTCAAGAAGTAAATGATGCTGCTAATTGTTATAATTATGTATATATTATATTTTAAGGCAATGTCTCGGATTTGAAGTGGTTTAATAATGCTAATGGGTGTGTGCTTCTGGTTTATGGCTAAACCTTTCAAATACATTTCTAGGCTTCTCTCAAAATTACAGTTCCCAGAGTTCTTGGGGTTAATAAGATGAATTTCTCCATGTTTCATTTTGAATCGGAAATAAACAACTGCATATTACACTAAATGCATCCAGAATATATGGAAATATTGTCTTAGAGAATGAAAAAGAAACAATAGGGGATCAATTACGGCTGCAATCCTAGGCGTCTAAAAGGTTTTTCAGATGAATATAGCCTTTTTAGGGAAAAAAAATTGGACTCAAGGCTTTTAAACAGCTTTGGTTTTTATGAAAAATATTTGTGTCCATTTTTTAAAATCTAAGGGATACTTAGATGGGTTATAGTTCAGAAAACCGTATGACATATTGGTTAGTTTTTAAGATGAGAGGTTACTGTTTTTGATCGGCTCTTACCTGCACGTCAATTGAGTTAAAACACCTGGAGGCTTACTTCAGAGCAAATCCGCAAAGGTTTCGCATCTTTGCTTTCATAAGTCAGAAACCTTTGCATCTGAAGCACTTCATTTTGCTACCCCAGCTTGGCGGGGCAAACAAAGCCCTGCCTGTCCCGCTCACGCCACTTTCGCGGCTCTCCTTTGTCTCAGCGAAGCGCGCAGAGGGCGGGGCGGGGGGGGGGGGGGTGGGCGAGTCCGCGTCAGCCTTGAGCTCCGCAACCTGTTCTCCGCGCTGGCCTGAGGAGGTGGGGCTTGGCTGCAGACCCCGCCCCCGCGGTGGCCTTGCCAGCCCCTGCCCGTCGCCGAGGGAGACCGGGCACACGCCGGCTGGCTGGCTGGCAGGCAGGCAGGCAAAGGCGCACCTTCTTGGACGTTCGCGCTTTGCTGTCGTAGCAGACGGGACTGCAGCAGAGCTCCGGCCCCGTAGTCGAGAATGGCGTCTTCGCCGGCTCGAGAGCTCACGCAAAACCCCCTGCAGAAGATCTGGGTGCCCTACAGCAATGGGCTTCCGGCGAAACATAGCGCGCAACGCGGCGGTGAGTGGCGGGTCGAAGACCGATGAGAGCTGAGATGGCGAGGGGGCGGATAGGAGAGTCAGGGCGCTGGAGTTGCAGCACCCCGGTGCGGATGTTGGGTGAAGTATGTGGAAGCAGGACTTGGAAGCGGAGGCCTGGCGCTCATTTCCCCCCACCCCCCCATGAAAGGCATGCCGGTTTAGCGGTGGATGGCCCTATTGATTGAGGGAGTTGCTTTCCTCCTTGCTGTCAAAAGTCTCTTGTAAGACACGGAGAGTTCCCGTTGGATTTGGAAAGGAGACAGCTCCAGAGGAATGAAGGGAGGACCCCGGGTGCCCGTTTTGGTTGGCCTAATGGTTTTGCAGCACCTGTTAGTTATGAGAATAGCTCCGGTATGGCATGGTATGCGTGGCGCCTTCAAAATGCCATTGCGCAATCCTGAAGAGTTGCAAAAGCCAATTTGAAAAGAACTACAGGTGGTTTCTTGAAATCACAACCATTGATTGCAATGATATTCATGAATTTCCAGCTCTTTCCTTTTGTACTTAGCCACTGCTGCAGTACAGTACATGCCCGTTTCCCCTCAAACGCATGGTATCTTCCCAGTGAAATAATAATGAAAATGAAAAACTCACGTGGGTAATAAAATGTATGTTGATATGCCAATAATTTCATCTTTAACAGCGTTTATAATATCAAAATTACCAGTATAACTGTTCATTTAGTGATTCATTTGCTAATGCACACAGTTTCTTGCCTGACAAATGTATTATTAATATTAAATAATAGTGAAGCCTTTACCTAACTGAATTTATGAGAGTTCAAGTAAAGATTTTGGGAAACTTACAAAATGAGCTAGTGTGATCCCTGAGGTTGAGAACAATTTACCTGGATTTGTATTTAATACTGCTAACCTTTGCATATTAACCAGGTTTGTAGGTCAGATAGAACTAATTAGGATGTGGTTTTGAATGTGCATGGAATAGGATAGCATTGGTAAAGGTGCTTCTAACAAATATTGGGCAGAAAGGGAGAAACTGTGTTTTTTAATTATATAAGGAAAAAGGGAAAAGTAGAAGAGAAAGTAATAAAGTTGTAGAAAGAACTGCTTGTTTGTTCAAATAGACTATGAGATTCATTCACTTAAAAACAGGAAAAGATGGAAACCTGGGACAACATCTGAAGATGTGGCACTCATTGGATAACCATAATTTTATGTACACTGAGAGCATATGCACCAAGACAAATTCCTTATGTGTCCAATCACACTTGGCCAATAAAAAAATTTATTCTATTCTATTCTATTCTATTCTATTCTATTCTATTCTATTCTATTCTATTCTATTCTATTCTATTCTATTCTATTCTATTCTATTCTATTCTATTCTATTCTCAACAGAGATTGAATGTGTTTCAGACTGTCTTTTTACAAGGTGTGATTTGTATTAGCAGAGATAAATTTTCTTTTTGATGGCAGAATGAAGGTTGTGCATGCCTAGGAAGATCATAGAGAAGATATGGGGACCTTATATGGACTGTAATCTCAAAGAAGAGAAAAGCTGGCTTTTGGTCTACTGTTCTATGTCCATGTAGTAGGAAGTGCTGGAAGAAATATACGGAGTTGAGCGGGAACAGTGTCTCAGTTCTTTAGCAGCTGAATATGTACACTTTAATTATGGTAGAGAATATGTATTGGTGCTTACAGACAGCCTTTGAGTGCTGCATAAAAGGTAGTGTTTCCATTTGCATCTAAGTTGTCAATATAGGATGGAGCTATACTGAAATCAGTACTTGAATCAGTACTGAAAGCATATTTCAATGTATTGTGTGCTGATAAAAAGATGTCACCATGTGTAAAAAATAAATGTGGTTGCTTTGTGCAGAGAGAGTTTACATGTCAATGGTTATGCATGCAGCTATTAGGGTTTTTGAGTTTGGCTTGGTAGTTCTCTTCTTTGTAAAAAGAATAAATCCATGAGCAGCTTTCTGCTTTCAGTTTTGTACTGTACCAGACACTGAATATTGAAATATATCCTAAAGAAAAATTAGTATTTTTCCTGTAGAATTCTTTACCAGTAGTAAGATGCCTGCTTTGCCCCATAGTTACCTCATTCAGGATATAAAAGCTATGTGGCATCCAAAGGTGAAGTATTATGCAGTCAGTATGTTTGTGTAGCCATGGGAATCTGTAGCGTTGAATTGCCCTCCACTTAGATAACGTTTTGTCAGATAACAATTATAGAGAGCATCTTTAGTTTCACAATGCCAAAAAATCACAAACAGAAATTAACATTAATTATTTTTTCATATTTTTTTTACTATGCATTAAGTTAGGAGCAGTGATACTTCTAAGTGATTTGAATTAATATCGCCTGGTACTTAGCTATAACTCTGAATGTTATTTGGACTTTAAACTATAGTTTCACCAGACAGGAACAAACTATAGAGTTTACCATTAGAGCGGGGGTTCCCAACCTTTTCTATACCCTGCACCCTTAGAACTCAGAACTCTTCTGATATATTATTGCACCCTTTACAAAAGTAAATAATTATATGCATATAATTATGCATATACACTATAATTTTGAAACTTCTAAACCCAAGTTTTCGCACCTCCTGGAATATCATCTTGCACCTCCAGGGTATGTGAACACCCCCAGTTGAGAACCCCTGCGTTAGAGGAATAACCAGTGTAGGTATAAAGAGTAGATAGATGAATAGTAAGTAGATCACATATTTTTGATAGACCTTAATATTTTATTTGTACAGAATATTTAATCACAATTAAATTTATAATGCTTTATTTGCTGTTGGATTGTTTTAAACAAATCATAATACTAACTTTCCAATTTGGGACAAAATGATGTGTTTCAAAATTTATTAATCTGTTAAATAAAAAAAAATTCAATCATTTGGCATCCCAAAGGCCATTCAGCTTTGGTTGAATGATGGGGAAAGTCCAGTTGCTTTTTGAAAAGCATCTTTGGGACAACCATGATCTGGATCAGTGGTCCCCAACCTTTTTATCGCCGCGGCCCGCTGAGCGCGCGCAGGGGTGGGGGCACGGCCCAGGAGCTTTTGCGCACGGCCCATTGCGCACGGCCCAGGAGCCTTTGCGCTGCAGCGTTCATGTCCCCCGGCCGCTGCGCGGCCCGGTGCCAGGTACTCCACGGCCCGGCACCGGTCCGCGGACCGGGGGTTGGGGACCACTGATCTGGATGATTGAGAATCTCCATAGACATTCAATCATTTGGCAGTTGTTAAAAGTATCAAAAAAATTTAAAGTACCGGTAGTAGGTCTATACTAATATTCTAGTTACTGTACTAATTATTATCTACTAATTGGAGTTTCATTTTGGCCACATACACATAGACTGCATTTCAAAAATCTAGGAATGGATTACTGTTGTAAACCATTCTCAATCCAAATAGCAACATAGGTGGAATATATCTATCCTAGCACCTGGAGATATCCATAAAAACCTGCAGAATTGTTGAGAATCCTCAGCCAACTTCAGTGGGAAATTTTGTGTTAAGAAGCACTGAAGTGACTTAGAAAATCAGTAGGGATGCGTTTCTTTTTATTATCTTCAGGCAGAGGTCATGCCTCTGGAAAATTAAGGCAGGAATAATAGATGTGTTGAAATTTCCTTTTAGTTGTTCTGGAGGAAGAAGGAATTTAGATAGATGAGCTGAATATATAGTATCTTGTATGACAAGTTGACCTATTTATGTATGTTGCTGTGGCATCTGTTTTACATGCAATAAATATATACAGTATAACTGACATAGATGCATATTAATCTTTAAAAATAATTGAAAATTATTTAATAGGTTTTTTTATTTATTCAATATGGGGGCCTTTCTCAAATGCATGACTGTAGGAAGCTAACAATTTTTAAAAAAAAATAGTTTGCTTAGTGATACAGGATATTCACAATATATCTAGGCATTATCAATTGTTTTTATCATGCTTTTAAGTATGTCTTAATTATAGAAATAGGCAGCATACAAATTTGAACAAATAAATACAAAAATATAGTTAAGTATGTTTCTTTGACATAGATTCTTGTATGTATCATGTCCCATTTCCATGTTTATTGTTTGTGAAATACTAATGAAACATGATCTTATTTATCTATATAACTTATCTAACATTTATATAAAATGCCTATGTCTGTAACCTTTAACTGGGCAGAATGGTGCATCATACAGCGATTTTTTTTCAACCAAGGTTATGGGTTAACTTATAGAATACATTCAAAATCCTGGATCCATGGAACTGAAAATTGGCAATTTTTATAAAACATTTTATGACATAAAATATTACAAAATGTCATAAAATGTTTTCTGTAATTAATTCCTGATGTTTGACTCTGCTATACTTTCAACATGGGCCCTCCAAAGGCCAGAAATGGACTGTTTGCCGACTTCCGGTGAGCCCAGAAGGCCCAAAAAACAGCTGGCTGGTGTGCGCATGAGTACCGGAGCTGAGCTCGCATGCCCACCGATATGGCTCTGCGTGCCGCCTGTGGCACGCGTGCCATAGGTTCGCCATCATGGACCTAGACACTGTACTTTGGTATCTTCCAGGCTTGACTACTGCAGTGCATTTTATCTTAT